ACAATGAAGTTAGTATCGTTTAAAAAGAGAGAGGGAAGGGGGTGATTCAATACAACTAACTCTAAAAATTTTTACTAAAGAAGTATGTTTCCAACCTCGAAAGGCAGGAAAATGTATGACTTTCTTTCTTTTAATTTCATTTATTGATTTCATCATTTATCTTTCAGACTTTGCTAATTTTGAACAGGAAATTAATTTCCCGTTTGAAAATTTTACCACTGAATTCAAAACATCTTTGTTTATTTAAATGTACATAAATTCAGCTTGACAGGAAATGTGGACATATACTCGTACATGTAAGGTACAAAATTGATGACCAACATGCAGACCTTTTCTAGTATGCTTTTATTTACAGTAGATTCGTTATCTCTTATATTTGACCAGAGGAAGGAAGGTCATATGTCCGTTTTCCGGATATCAACTCAGTCAAATTTAGCGAAACAAAAGGTTTTTTTTTAAATGTTAAACAGAATTGGTTTTGATATATACTTTACCCAGGACCTGAGAACAAAACGTTTGAAAGGAGGAGATGAGCGAGGGACGACACACTCTGATTCATTAAAGCGAAAAGCCATTACTGAGTACTTCACATCAAGTATATTCAGTGTTTTGTTTTAAATATCAAAAACAAATAAGTTTATTGAAAACGAATTTAGCTTAGATATATTTTTTTCTCAAATTTCAGCGATAAAATTTGATAATTTGAATGTGTTTTGGCAGTGAATCAAATAGTGTTATATGACAAAGAAAAAAAAATGGTTGAATTAAATGGCCCTTTTAAAGACGAATAGGTCAGACTAAAATCATCCGATAAATTTTGTGATATTTTAGATCTATATCGTTTGTATATTTATCTAAAAAGAAATGATAAATTTAACTCTCCAGCAAATTTTTGAAAATCGCGACAGTTGGGTCCTGGATTTAGGCCCAAGGTGGTGATACTATTGAAAATTCAGTCACATGAAGGGGAGACTTTGTTTCCCCAGAAACATAAATTTACTGTTGGAAGTGTTCAATGAAAGCCCCTCCCCCATCCGTTTAGTTGCAGTATAGCAAAAATATAAGGGTTTTGTAATAGCGTATGAATTAAATTTGGTACTGAGAAAATTGGAAATCCCACGTTAACACGCGCATGCACACACACACAACGATTTGTGATTTTCGAGTTTGGACCCCCCAACCCAAAATGGCGGGGGGGGGGGTTCAATTTTTTCTCCAGGTAAGTTGAATTAAATCTGGTTTCCCTCTTTCAAATAAAAAAAAAACGATGCTACGTCCTTGAAATTAATCATAATTAAATAATTTTGAAAATCTTTTCATTTTTCTTGCAGAACCCATCTTCGCTAGCCAAGGGTTTTATCCGATACCTACTCTACTAGAGTAGGGGGATCGGAAACCCTTGGCTAGTTAATATGCAAAATAGATGATAATGATTGCCGGTGTATAGAACAGAACATAACATTTTATTTCTAATTTAGAGCCCATAACAGACAAGTATGAAATTGTTACAATAATTAAGGAAAAGATAAGCCAATGAATAGCAAAACAATTATACAATTAGAGTTGACATAAATCATTTCAACAATAATCCTGTCTAAAAGGAATACATCAAATATGCATGTATGTGTAAAAGACTAATGGTACTATAACAATCATTTATAAATTTGCCCACAAAATTAAAGTTTCCTTATCTTCTGTATTGAGTAACCAATAAAGTTTTTGTTCATCATCTAAAGCTGAAAATAGTGGAAATTTATGATTAATTAACTGAAACATTTCTTTTTTTTTGATGATCAAATTTTTTTTACATGTTATTAAAACATGAGTTTCATCATCTATGTTGTTATAATTACATCTATTACATAATCGATCTTCCAGGAATATTGGTAAATCTTCCCACTTCAATTTGTAATCTGTGACAGGAAATTCTTAATTTACATAAAGATTTTCTGTGATGAAAATTTTTAACAACTGATAAATAATTCTCATAACCCCAATTTTGTTTGAGTTTCACATATGTGGATAATTTGCCATCGGTGTAACTTTTATAACTTGTATACCATTTCTTCACATAATAATCTAATAAAATTTTATGACAAAATGACTTAAATTTATATTTCCCATAACAAATAACTTCATCTTTAATATTCAGTAATTTTCTTAATTTCTGTATAAATGCAAACCATGAGTTCTTTCCATTCACAAAAACACTACATTCATATGCATCTTTAAGTAAAGGAAATTCTATGGACAAATTCTCAAATCTATACCTACTTTTAATCAGTAACCTGGCAATATCATAATGCAGGGGGAACCTTCCCAATTCAGACAGTACTGCAAAATTTGTGCTTTTCTTATCAAATATAAAAACAAAAAGGTGTATTCTTTCACAGGGTAGATTTTTAAAGCAGTCTTCAACTGTTAAATTTTGGCAGTTTAGGAATTTTTTAGTATTTATATTACTTGCACCCCACACCTCTGCATTATACAAAAGAATTGGTTTAATGGTAGAGTCAAATACATGTATACTGGTTTTAATCCCAGGGTTCAAATCAATAAAATCCGAAAGAAGATGGGGGGGGGGGGAGGGGTAAGGTGGGCAGAATGCCTATAGCGCGACAGATAAGATGTGAAAAATTTAATCTCAATTATATCCAAATTTTATGTCATATTTCATCTAATATTAAAGTATACTTAATGTAAAATCTCTTTAATTTACAAAAATCTCACAAAGATTTAAAATATTTGCCTATGAAAAAGCATACACAGACTTAAAAGAACGAAAACGATCATTTTTTCATACTTTAACAACATTTTTCAATATGAATGGGTCTTAGCTCCATTTTTTTGAAAGATAACCCTAAAAGTTTGCGATAAAATAAATATTTGTTGGTTTACAAAAAAATGGAGCGAAGACCCATTATATACTAGCATAGTGGTTAGCGCGTTAGTCTCAAAGCAGTCTGATACATCGGTATTTTATTGCTGGGGTTCGAATCCCACGTATACTATCGAATATTTTTATAAATGAATTATTTCAAAGATTTATTTTCTCTCAGAAATTTTTTTTTTCTCATAATTTCATAAATTTCAATAATGAGAAGTAAATTTAAATACTCAATTTACATATCAAATGTTATTTCTTGATATCTGACGCTATAGGCATTCTGCCCGCCTTATCCCCCCATCTTCTTTGAATTCCACGAAATGAGAATCCATTCTTTGTTACAGGTTCCGGCATCAGTCGGACTAGGGCCAGGTTGGTCATATTATATACTATTTTATTGAAATACATTATACCCTGAAACATTTTTTCACTCGTATGTAGAGAATAGCACTCTATCAAAGCGAAATTCCTATTCCGCGGATCTAGGATTCCACGGTGGCGATATGTTGATCAAAGATGAGAATTCCACAGACATACGTACATTTGAAATTTTAATACTTAAACCTAATTTTTTTTTGCAATGAAGTGATGAACATTTTTATCGAATATCACCTTTTGGCAGGAATGTCGACTTGTTGTATCGGAGGTCCCCCCCTTGGAATTTACAGAGTTTTTAAATTCATATACTTAACCAAGTAAAAAGAGACCTGGACGCCCCCCCCCCCGCGAAAACGCAGCCCCCCCCCCTCGAATACGTGGATATGTGCACAGGCATCTGACGTTACTTGTTTTTCTTTTACATGTAATAAAAAAAAATATACGTCCTAGGCAGGGGGTATATGTTTTTATGAACAGAAAAATAAGTGACGTCAGTTGCCTGTGGATAAGTGTTTTAAGTCGTTATGAAAAGTCATAGGTCTCACTTTGAAGCATTAGAAGTCTCCCCCCCCTTTCCTCTCCCACGTCATAGATCTGTCTCGTTTTGGCGAAATTACTTTTTTTCGCGTGTCAACAAATTTTTGGATTGGATTTTTTTTTAACTGGGGTGGATTCCCCACCCCTGGAATAATTCCTGGATCCGCACCTGTGTTGCAAACTGGTTTCATCTCTCGACAAACCAGATTCAACAAATGTAGTTGAAATTATAATATTAAACCAAATATAAAAAATTGAATGGCCTCTACGAACAGAACAGAACAGAACAGAACATTTTATTTCTAATTTAGAGCCCATAACAGACAAGTATGAAATTGTTACAATAATAAGGAAAAGATAAGCCAATGAATAGCAAAACAATTATACAATTAGCAGTTGACATAAATCATTTCAACAATAATCCTGTCTAAAAGGAATACATCAAATATGCATGTATGTGTAAAAGACTAATGGTACTATAACATGTTATCATTTACGCGTTTTTACGCATTTTGAGAGACATGACAACGCATGTAACCTATTACATGTAATAATGTATAATGCCTTTGAATTTGCGTTATTACACCTTCAATTTGCTTTAATATTAACCCTTTCCTTTGCGTTGTCCTACGCCTTTTTATAACACTTACTATATCTTTGAAAGGCATGGAACTTTTAAGAATTTCAAGCTATACAATGCTTTTCAATTTCTAGCGCTTTTTGATTCTTTCTATCACGTCATTTGTCTTTACTTTGGCAATCACCTTTTGAAGTTTTGAAAGGTATCTTTATACTTGATACTTTTTATGCGTCCTCGGGTTTTCGGTTTTTTAAAAAAGAACTCAAATTCACTTTTATTTCTTTTCTTTTATTTTTTCACATAAAATTATGTTTAATTTGAATTAACTAGGTTTTTATCTTCGAATTACTAGTATTTAATTTTTATATCTCTATAATATCTTTTTAAGAAATACTTCATTTAAAAAAAGAATTGTGTGCTTGTTGTTTCTGTGCAAAATAAAAAAAAATCAAAACAAAAAATAAGGCATATAATTTGTTCTGTCTGATCAAACATGCTTCAGTGAATTTCGCGCACCTGCTGGAGCAAGAGTGCACCATCAGTATTCAGATAGCTCCTCCTCTTTCCGGAAGTAAACAAAACCACGCGCTTTGTATTTCAAGCACTCTGATCATAAGAGAAGACACTCTAATAATCAAGTTCATAAGTAGTTTCTTTTTTTTTTTAAATATCTTTTAACAAAGATCTTCTGTAAACGTTGCAGTGCAGACTTAGCGATCGGCTGCACGGCTCGGATCTCCGCCAAGTGATCTGGTCGTCCAGACAGCTGACGCGCCACCGAGACGCCGGCCCGCTGAATGGCTGTTAGGTACTGTGTGTATGTTGACAGAGAGGTCACGCGCGCTGGCTGGCGGCTTTGGCGGAGCTAACGACCCAATATCAGACAGAATCTTTTTCACAAACTTCTAACGGCGCCAGACGTCTCGTTTTGTGCCAAGCAATTCGATTTTCCAGCTGATACCATCATGAAATGGTAGCATCTTCGGTGCAAGTTTGTGTAAATGTGATAATGCACGGCAGACAGACAGAGAGCCCTGTCTGGCTTTATGTCTGCATTTCAATGATTTTTAAAGGTCAGTCGCTCTAGCTATCTTCTCATGTTTGTAGCTGTACACAACATTGTCAGTAAATAAGATTGGCGTCTAGCAATTTCTTTTCACAACATGAGTGTTAAAAGGAAGCATATTAATTTTTCTTTCAGAGGAGACTGGTAAGCGAGCAGATTCACTCTACTTTTCTTTCTCTGGTAAGTTAACTGTTCAGATCTCTGAATTTCAGTCAATAAGGGGGAAAAATGGCATAAGAACACAGAAAATAAAAGAGGCGAGATTGGGTCTTGGTTAATGTTCTAAAGGCAAAAAAGTGTACATTTACTATGTTCTTGTTTTTTTTTTAAACTGTGAAATTATAAATCTGTTCAATATTTTTCATGCAGTAATACAAAAATTCTATTGTAAAACAGGAAGAAAAATACATGAATCCTATAAATGTAGAACTGTAGGTAAAGAATGCGACAAAAAAGAAATTTGACAGAGAAAAAAACCCAAACAGGTTTATTGTTATAAAATATAAATATGTTTTGTTAATTTATGTATAATTTTTCATTCCAATATTTCTGAATTTTTATGATGAAAAGCACCAAGCAGATATCACCAAAGAAGGAAGTTATCAAAGTTTAATTTTTTCCAATTTCACATCAAATTCATATAAACCTCAATAGAAGGAAGTCTGGAATTGAATATTAAACAATGAGGCATTAAAAAAAAAGTCAAGCCTATATATGCATATAAAATATCCTTAAAGTTTAGAGTTTTGAAAATTTAAGGCTATTCTAAATTTAAAAAGATAAGGAATCAGTCCCCTTCTCAGTAATATATAGCTTGTTCAGAATACAAATTAGAAACATAGGGGATCTTTTCTTCATTTCTTAAAACTAATATAAAGGAATTTTACAGGAAGTTTGATGTAAGTAGAAGGAAAAAAAATATATATGAAAAAAAACACATTTTAAATTACATTAATATACACTTTTTTTCATTAAATTGATTTGAGAGAGAGATTTATGTGATTTTACTAAAAATCATAAACTTCACACTGGAGATGTATTGAAAATATAGGTGAGACATTCTACTTGGTATAAATATTTTTAAAATGAATTACATGCACCTGAAGATGTCTATGAAAGGTTTTCAATTCACACAAATAATTTTGAAGTTATTGTTAGACTTAGAAGAGATGGAAGCTTCTTTTTAAATCTTATGAAAGCAGAATTTATTTGAATTAAAAATTCAAATAAGTATATAAATAAATAAAATGAAAAAGAAAAAAAATTAAATAATTTCTAAATAAATTACTATATATAAAAATTAAGAAAATTAAGTGTTGTGTAGTTTTGCCTCTCAATCCTCCCTTCTTTTTTCTTTCAAAATTTAAATTAAAATATTGGTTTTATTTTACTCATGGTTCCAGTGGGAAAAATATGGCATGAAGGAAATGGTTAAATATAATTGGGAAACTACAGTTCTTAGTATGTAATAAGCTGAAATAGATTATTATGTCACAGTTAATTAATCCAGCATGTACTTTGTCTGTTACAGGGAAGGAAATATTTTACAATGGAGATTGAAAAAGCCTTTTCAGAGTCAGTGGACAATATCATGAACTTTGCTGAAATTCTGTACAAATGCACCCTATGTACAACCTTGCCTTCGATTCTGACCTCCAAAAATAGCTTTGTATCTCATGTCAAAGGTCATCATTTTAAACAGAATCTCACAAGATGTCTGGTGTGTTCTTTGAGTTTTGAGACAGAGGAAGACCTCCATGCTCACTCGAGATCATCTCACTGTGGTGAAGATGCATTTAAGGGTGAAGGGGATCATCAGGATTCTCATCCAAAGGAAGAGGAAATTACGTCTGCTGAAGAGACCTTAATCCCTATAACGCAGGAAAATGAAGTGGAGCAAGATAAAAAATGTGTTAATGTGATTAACACAAAGTGTGACACATACAACTGTGTTGGACACAGAGTGAACAGTGAAATCACAAACATAACAGCTCAGTCAATAGAGAGACCTTTCATGATGAATGTTGATGGCCAGAACATCTCTGATGGGATGGAAGCTCCATGGCCAGAGATGAGGCCAAAGGTCAATATCGAGTATGGACTAGAAAACTCCGTTCGTCAACATCCATGTACAAACAATTTGTCCAAAATTCATGCAGTGGCAGACCAAATTTTAGCAGTGAATTCTACTAAACCTAAGCCTACTGGTAACAGTATGATTTTCTCCCCTGGATTTACACCAGAATTTGGAAAGTTTACAAAACTTGTGAGAGAGGGAGGGAATATTGTGTATTTTTGTCAAGTTTGTAATTGGAAATCACAGATTAAGTCACATTTCCAAAGTCACTGTCAAGGAAAAGTTCACAAGGAGAAACTAAAATGTGCAGAAGAACAGCATGACGAAAAATCTCCCTCTCCAGCACCTAGAAGGGAACATAACAGTAAAGAAAAACAGTGTGACTCAGTAAGTCCTGTGAATTTATCAATAGAAAATGGGATGGGCTCCTCTACAGCTCATTCTCCTGTGATTTCAGAGAGAAATAAACTAGAGAGACAAAACAAGAGAAAGCGAAGTGTCCCCATTTCTCTCCGAAATCAAGCTTCTGATCGAGATGGATGGCAGTCCAGTGACTCTGACTCAGATTCTGCGGATATTAGCAGGAGTAGACTGTATCACAGTGGGAGGACACCAGTGAAGAAAAGACACTCGAAGGACAATAAACCAAGTCCTAATGCTGAAGTGAGGCCAAAGATAGACAACTCCTGCAGACCCGCGCTTCTTGTGAACTCTGATTCTGACAGCAATCATATACAAGGCTATCACAATCCAGGAAATCCATCAATGTCACTTACATCAAAAGGCTACAGAGATGAAGATCCCACTAAATTTCCTTTTGGACTGTACAATCAAATTCATAATCAGATTTTATGGAATTTGAGCAATAAATCTGTAGACAAAGGGAAGAAGACAGTAGATTCCCCACTGCCATATTTAGACAGACTTTCCTACCCAAACAGTAAATCATTTTCCTCAAGCAGTCCCCATGTTTCTCCTCCAAGAGGTTCTCCATTCTGTCCAGAGATATCTAAATCTGATTCTGAGTTCATGTACAGGTGTTCCTTGTGCTCATTTGGCTGTAACAAAATTCAGGAATACAGGACTCATTTTGAGTTTCAGCATGAGCAAGGAAACTCACTGAATGAGCAGGGCCCACTCTGTGGGACTGAAGGGAAGGAATTATGGAAAGTGAACAAAATCAAGGAATGTTTGACAGGTAAATTTTGAAGAGTTATTCCCCTTTGAACACATTCTTGGTAAGAATGCCTGAACATCTCATATACTAGTATTTAATATTTTTTTTTAATTTCATACTTTGAAAATGTCATATTTAATGTTATTTTTTACAGAATCACATAAAATTAGGTTACAGATAATGAAATAATGTGTTGGAACTAATCAATAATCAAGTGCATGCATGTACTGCTGAGCACAGATTATTTATGTACAGTACTTCTTTCCCTGTCTAGACAGATTGCCATTTTTATCTGTGACACAGATTTAGCGGACACTTATTTAGATCAAGTGATAATTATTATAGTCACAAATCTATATGTATACCTCAGATCCTTATGTTCTAGCTTTAAAGTATATTGGACAAAGCTTTTTTTCTACAATATCTTCAATAAATGTTCTTGAATTTGTAATTATAATTGTATGTAATCAGAAGTATATAAAAACCAACAACTATGATTACCATAGTTTAAAAACATGACAGGTTTTGAAATACCCATAATTTTACATTCAAGAAAAAAAAATTACAAGAGAAAAATCTTGTTTGAAAAAATAATTCTAGATCTTTATATGCCATTTCTGGCTTATTTTTGGTACTAAAAATTATATGCCATTTCTGGCTTATTTTTGTTACTAAAAATCATATGTATTTCTTGAGTGAGTAGTGTTTTATTTATGCACTTGTAAGACTTTTAAGACTAATTTATAGCCGACCCTAAAATTTTTTTACTTTTTCATGTAGTGCAAGATTTGAATTGTCGCAAGCTTTTCAAGACAGAAAGAAGTTTAAGTCACCTTTCAAATTAAGTCACAGAAATGCTTGAAAACACCATTTCTTTTGTCATTAAATTTTCATAAGTAAAAATAATTTTTTTCATGTGAAAGCGGAAACAAACAAGACATGAATCATCAAATTAATTTTAAAAAATTTTTTTTTTGTACATCTTTTAAAAATTTACAAAAAAATTCTCAACCTCCCCCCCCCCCCAAATAATTTATGGCATATGCGTTCAAATTGCAATCTTTTTACATTGTAGATTTGATCTGCCTGTTCCCTAAGGGGAATGTCTCCCGAGATCTCCTGCTTCAGAAGATTAGTTCTATAACCCAGCTTCCCGAGGCCGTCCACTGGGGCCCCGCGTGTAACAGGGCGGTCCGAGAAATCTTCCCAGACACACTGGCTCAGAGGAAGGGAAAGTTTAAAAAGTATCCTTATACATGTACGACATTACTGGCACAAGAGTTGGATATTATTATCGCTAAAAAAAATTTTTTAATTCGTGTGGTTGATGTAATAGTTTAAGTATTTTCATTGATCATTTATAAGTAAAGACTTAGCAAGTCCCCAATTTCCCAAATTTCAGGGGCATTCAAGAGTGACCATGAGGAGAGTATACTGGTACTCCTAAAGGTTCAGAGCAAGATACTTTTGACATATACACTGTGAGGAGCATAGGGACAATAACCTAGTAGGCTATACTTGTAGAAATGGGATGAATACAAATGTATTTATTTAAATAAAAGTCATGAAAAGTCTAGACTGTATTAATGTCATATATTTGCTATATAGTTAGTTGCATTAAAACTGCAGAATCTAAAAAAATCTAGTTAGGAAAAGGCATTGATATATTTTTTAAGAAAGGAGACATATTTTATCTTTAAGCTTTCAACAAAGATTACAATTTGGTTGCATGTATGTTTTTTGGAATTTAATGAAGATTCTTCCCAAATGCATTCTTCTATCATCTGTTGTTAGTCATATAAAATGAGTTATTTCCCTTTTGATACAAAATGCATTCAAAAAACTTCCTTAACTATAAAAGAACCTATTTCTTTGGAGTTTCCTTCATTGAGCAAGTCCAGGAACCAGCCGATGACCTTAGTGACCCCGAGTTGATGCAGTATCAGCCATTGAGAGACATGTCTCAGGATCTGGAGAAGATTCTAGAACATCTTCACAGTATGTACAGTTACACTGGTATCACGCATATTGTTTAACTTTGAAATCTCAAGCATCTATTAGTAAAATACCATGATTGATATTTCAAAGTTAACCTGATCCTGAATCATCATATTTTATCCCTAAGGAGTAAAATTTTAATGATTTTATAAATGACTTTGTAGTGATGTGACATAAAAAGATGTATATGAAGATAGCATCGTTGCAAGCCATGGTTTTTGCAGGTGTCCATTCTATTTCAACAAAACCTGTGGCTTGCTACAATGATGACAATAGATATGCATTTTATTTAGCAAATTCACACCACACCTCTTCAAAATGTAAAATTTTAGTTTGTATAAAATTACCATTTGTAGATCTTGTACAATTTTCGGAGGATGCGGAGTCTTCGGTGTCGAGAGACGACCTTCTGACAGTGCTACATAAACGTATAGATGAGCCAGATGTCCTGTACTGGGGAATGCAGTGTAACAGGGCTATCAGGATAGTCTTCCCTTCTGTTGTTATCAAACGCAAAGGAAAGTTCAAGACATATCCTTTTTTTAGTCAGATAAAACATGGAGAAAAAAAGAGTAATTTTAATTCATTTGGGGTAAGAAAAACCCATAATTTAAGAAAGAAAACTTTCATTGTTCTTCTTAACAAAAACATAAAATATATTGTAAATTTACTATCCTTAATGTAATCACTACAGTATATCAAGGTGTTGATTTCAAAGAGGAAGTGAAGATGGAACTTCAACAATTGCCAGTAAGTACTGTACAAACTAGAGGTACCGTGAGCTTGAGCTCACGAAATGCTACCCCCGCCTCCCATATCATTATGATGGCGAAGTCCATGCTTTGTTCTGGGAGACCTAAAATATGTGTTGGATCAAAAAGTAATGTCCTGTTCACACAGAGAGTTTACTTCGAATTAAAAGCAAGTTTAATGCGAATTACCTTTGCTTAGCGTTCACACAGAGATTTAATGCGAATTAATTTAATTCGAATTAATTTACTGCACATTAAATTACTTTGCATTAGCCCCGTGTGGACGCTAAGCAAAGCTTATTCAAATTAAATTTTGACGCATGTGTCAGGCCAAAATTAAGTCACAGGATACATGCTGGTGGCTAGATATAGCTACCTGTGCTATATTTTTTTGTTTAAAAATCAAGGAAAATTATGTTAATGGCTAAATATATACCTGTAGCCACTATGATTATTTTATATCAAATGGGTGGCTCTGCATACATGACGTGATTTACAAATGACATCATAATAGCCTTACTGAATTGCCTTTTTAGCTCACCTGAGCCGAAGGCTCAAGTGAGCTTTTCTGATCACATTTTGTCCGTCGTCCGTCCGTCCGTCCGTCTGTCCGTCTGTAAACTTTTCACATTTTCGACTTCTTCTCAAGAACCAATGGTCCAATTTTAACCAAACTTGGTACAAAGCATCCTTGGGTGAAGGGGAGTTTAAATTGTTAAAATGAAGGGCCAAGTCCCCTTACAAGGGGAGATAATCAATAAAAGACAAAAATAGGGTGGGGTCATTAAAAAATCTTCTTCTCAAGAACCACTGGGCCAGGAAAGTTGAAACTTATGTGGAAGCATCCTTGGGTAGTGTAGATAGTAAATTTTAAAAATCATGACCCCCGGGGGTACGGCAGGGCCACAATAGGGAATCCAAGTTTTACATAGAAATATATAGAACAAATCTTTAAAAATCTTCTTCTCACGAACCACTGGGCCAGGAAAGCTGAAACTTATGCGGAAGCATCCTTGGGTAGTGTAGATATTAAATTGTTAAAATCATGACCCCCGGGGGTAGGGCGGGGCCACAATAGGGAATCCAAGTTTTCCATAGAAATATATAGAACAAATCTTTAAAAATCTTCTTCTCAAGAACCACTGGGCCAGGAAAGCTGAAACTTATGTGGAAGCATCCTTGGGTAGTGTAGATATTAAATTGTAAAAATCATGACCCCCGGGGGTAGGGCGGGGCCACAATAGGGAATCCCAAGTTTTACATAGAAATATATAGAACAAATCTTTAAAAATCTTCTTCTCAAGAACCACTGGGCCTCAAAAGATGAAACTCATATGGAAGCATCCTTGGGTAGTGTAGATATTAAATTGTTAAAATCATGACCCCTAGGGTTTGGACAGGGCCACAATAGGGAATCCAAGTTTTACATAGAAATATATAGAACAAATCTTTAAAAATCCTCTTCTCAAGAACCACTGGGCCAGGAAAGCTGAAATTTATGTGGAAGCATCCTTGGGTAGTGTAGATTTTAAAATATTAAAATCATAAAAGGGAAGGGGGTAGGGGGTATGATAGGTACAGCAAGAGGTGAAATCTGGTAAAGAACTGCATCACCCAAGTTACTCAGGTGAGCGATGTGGCCCATGGGCCTCTTGTTGTGGAAATAAAATTTTAATTCGCATTAGTTTACTTCGGTTAAGCTGTCATGTGAATGCAATTTAATTCACATTAATTTGATTCACATTAGTTTACTTCGCATTAATTTACTGTGAATTAAACTCGTCGTGAGAACAGGGCATGAAGTAGGAGGTGCACAACGGCATTATGTAATACATGTAAAGACTCATGTGAAAGTTTTAAATTTTATATATAGGTATAAGAGGACTTGCAGATAAGAAATGGGTACCCCTTCAATATTATAGAAAGAATGGTAGTGTCGACTGTCCATGTTTTGCTATGGGAAACCCAAAAATGTATCCTATCAAAAAGTAAAATAGGAGGTGCACAATGGTAGTATGTAACAAAGTATTTGTGAATTTCGCATTAAATGTCATTCAGTGGTATGAGAGGAGTTGCGGATAATAGATGGGTACCCCAAACTGAAAGCGTATCAGACGGAAGGATGGACAGAGGGAGGGACATCCCAATCACTATATACCCTTCCACTTTTCAAACATTTTTAAGATGGCTTCAGCTGATACATGTACCATTTTCAGAGTTTTTTAAAAAAAACTTATTTTTTCTGTGAACCATAGCCACAGGATCATCAGAGATTTTCTGTTTAAACTTGGTATCCTTTGAAAAAAAGTACAAGAAACAGACCCATCAAAAATTGTCTGTTGCGAACTTTTATCCTTTGCAAATTTAGGCACAGATCCAGGATTTTTCTTTTGCAGGGGGGTCCACCCCACTCCAAAAAAATTTTTTTTTTCAAACTCTACAAATTCCAGGTAGGGTCTGGATGACATTCATACGGGAAAGAGGAGAATTGATAGATCCCAACTATGCACAGAAAACCTTGCACTGTATTTGTAGAGTTATGGTCAAAGAGACAAAGTAATTTATAAAACCCATAATGCGACATTTTTCAGCTATAATAGGACCACTCACTCCTTTCAGTACCTTCTGTAAGGGTGGAAATAAGAAAGGGAAAAAATAAAAAGCCAATCTGATTTAAATCAGATCCTTTGATCCGCCCACATAGATCGCTACACAAGGATCTGAAGAAAGCCCATTCAGGGTCATCTCCTGGTGACCTTTCTAAGGAAAATCATTTTCCATCAGGGATTTATCAATTTATTGACTAACATTTTATGTTCTATTTTAAACATCAAAATAAAGTAGAGACTTTCAGTACTTTCATTTCTTATTAAAATTTTTCTCCTTAAACTCCAGGGCTTGGAACGCAGGCTTTATGGAATTGCAATGTTCTTGAATTTTAATGTAAACAGGTATATTTGAGTACTTTCAGAGAAAAAATAATATGAGCACACCCTCTGATCTAAAAAATAAAACATGTCTTGTAATCTTCAGAAACAGTTCTATCATTTACTAGTTCCTTATTTTAGATCAGAGATTGTGCTCTATATTTAAAAATATTTTAAAATAGCCTTTGAAATTTGCTGTTTTTGAAGACTTTTTCAGAAGATGAGGAAATTGACGCATTTTGTGACGTCACAATGCATTGACTAGCCAGAAAATTACATCATTTTTAAAAGAAATGCTATCACCAAAGGTCTCAATGATATTTAATGCATTTTTAACTAAAATTAAGCAGTATCGGTTTTTCAGAAATTCACAGGGTCAAAAAAGATCATACGTGAACCGTGTTCTTTCATTGTCTTTCTTGATATGAAGAGACCAAGAAATCATCCCTCATGAAATAATTAAATTTTATACTTTAGTTTAGTGGTTATCCTTTCACCATGAAATCAAATCCCCTCTTATCATATTTTTTCCTTAAACCGCCAATATTTGACCCCTTCAATTAAAAAAATAATACATCAGTTGTCTTGAGAATTTCTATAATGGCCAATATAACGTCAGAATAACCAAAACAAATCATTCAGAACAGGTGCATGAAAAAATTAACACAAACAATATGAATTACCGTATATACTCCCCTATAAGTCGGTTTTTTTTTTAGTTAATCTCTGGTCTAAAACTCTTTATCCGACTTACAGACAAGCTATTAAAAGTATTGGTTTTATATGAGGTCAGTCCAATGGATATACAAGCTTATTAAATACAACCGACTTACAGGCGAGTATATACGGTAGGTTAAACCTGAGATGTTTTATTATTTTTTCAATCAAGACCAAACATATAATATACAATTATGGACTTCAGTGTAGGTCGATATGTGGTACGTTGTAAGGACTCATGGCAATTGATATTGACCGAAGACACAGAAAGTGATAGCGACTGAGCCTGCGAGGTCGCTATCATTTTCTGTGTCTGAGGTCAATATCAATTGCCATGAGTCCTTATATCCACATATTGACCGTTCACTGAAGTCCATAAAAGTTATATTATATAATCACTCAAATTGTATGCACTGACACAGTCCTAACTGAACAGACTTGACTGTCATTACGTCACAATGGTTAATTTCACGCTTCTTATATTATGACGTCACGTTTTACGTAACTTCATTGCAACCGAACGTTGTGTCGTGCGATATCATTTTCCACAGATGCGCTGTCGCATCGATATGGCAAAAGGAGGAATATCACGTGACGTCCTTTCAGCCAATGAAAACTATGAAAATAATCTTCTTATATAATATTGAAAAATAACGCCCAAAATGGCAGCTTCACTGTAAATCTGTCCGCCAACTTGTCCTTAGTGCTAATTAAAATCCTTTGATGAGATGGAAGTTAAGAAAGTCTAAGTGAATGTCAGTTATTGTACCTCTGTACTGGGGTAGCTTGATTAGTAGCTTTTATTCCAAATCGTGTTTATGCCAGTTCCCTATAATCATTGTCATTTTAATACATAGAAGGAGTGTTTGGTAGAGTTAATTTAGAGACATGGGTGTAATTGTTTGAATGAAATAAGATCCAAATAATTATTTGAATGTAAGCCATTCATAGATCTGTAGAATTATGAGGTGTGTTTCTCTCCTTTAGTTTTCCTTGCCAAATAAAAAGGGGCGGCCAAGAAAAATCAGCTCGGAAGATTCAGGGGAGGTAATTACTAACCAGTACAATAATAATAGCTTTATTCAGCGTTGACGTCACAGATTTCATTGTGAAACTAATTGGAGTTTGATTTTTACCCTCTCTGTAACCCTTGTTTTTTGGTTTTTTTTTACAAGTACATGTATTTAAAATAATTATACATTGGTTATGTAGGGTATTTGTTCTTTTGATTGCATTCATGCTGATGTGTTATTTTGTTGTATCAATGTCTTTGTTTTAAATAAAAACTTGGAACATGAAAAGCTTTCCCATGTTAATCTTACAGTAAACAATATTTAGGCCAAAAAAAAATAATCAATAGTTTCTCATGCACCGCCGCATCAATTCAATTTTATTGACATATGAGAAGGGAAATAATTTTTTATTTCTCTTTCAGTTATTCCCCTTTCATAAATGCTAAGAAAGACGTTTTTATTAGAAAAACAATATACTTCTTCTAAATCTAAAGTATTTTATCAGTTAACTTTTAAATAAATGTTTGGAATATCATTATTTAACGTTGAATACATATTATACAGAGAACAAAACTTAAGAATCAGTAGATATTATCATTTTACTGCACAAATGACTTACAAAAAAAGAGAGGTAAAACCTGCTTCCAAAAAAAAAAAAAAAAAAAAAAAAAGCCTGCCTGCCGCATTGAATTTTGAATTTTTTGGCCTGAGAAACTATTTATTAATTTTTTTTGGCCTTAACAATTCTTTTTATATAATACTTTCAATTTATTTACTAGTAAATAACTTGAATTTTATTCGCTTAGAAACATCGTGCCTTTTAGTGTGCTAGTACTTTACAGTATTGATCAACACTGCAACAGAGGGTTATTTGTTGGGATGGGTGGGTGTATATAAATAGGCTTTTTGAGTGGCAAAGACAAATTTTAGTTCTCTTTCATGTTTATAAGAGTATAATTATGAATTTGATGTAAATGCAATTTACATTTGTAAACAAAAAGTGTGTTTTGATTTCTTCATTAGAATTGTTCCTGCTAGCTATACAATGATTACTCAAGATAAATGTTAAATCTTGCTATGTTACCTATCTTGGTGACAGTGCAGCCAGACTATAGTTAGTATTGTTTATCTTGATATCTCTTTTATTGTTAATTCACAGATGTATCAGATGGGAATGAGCTGGACAGACGCTATAAGAACAGGACATAGTGAGACGTATAAAATGTACACCAATATTCACGTCCCCAGACCCTTTCCTAGCGAGAACCTGTCAGTGACTCGTGGGTGGGGGCCGGGCTCCCTAGCTTATCATGACACCGGGGACCCCCAAAAGCAGGGTCCCTCACAGCTCTCACAGAACAAGGAAAGTGTTAAAAGGACTGAACATTTTAAATTAGATTATGAAGTTAAAGGATCTGGAGAAGATTCTGTATTAAACATTTCATCATTAAATGATTACTATTGGATGAATGGACCCCAGACAAAATCTTTCTTAAATGGTAGTGTTCAAAAGTCTTGTCCTAGTGAACAAGCATTTCAAAGTGAAAAAGAGGCTGAAAGTGATTTCAATGATGTGAGTGAAAATAAACAAATTCTCAGTCAGAAAGAGGATGATCAGAGCGAGGATAATGAAGATGAAAATACAGATGAAGATGCAGATGACGAGGAAAGCATCGGACCAAATATTGAGGACAAAGATATTGACTGAAAACACATCAAGGAGTG